GGAGGGAGTAGGTACACTGGAGGTAACTGAAGGCGTAATGGCCACCACGGACCAGGAAAAGGCAAATGCACTCTTTACGTTTATCAAGGAAATTTATCGGCCAGCTACATCAGGACAGAATGTAGACTGCAACCTAGTTTGAACAAGGGAGTATTTCACGGAGTTCAACCTCTGCGAAATCGACGTGGTCCGAGAGCTCAACGCTTTAAATAGGCATAAAGCAGCAGCACCGGATGGATTGCATCCCGCCGTGATTCAACCTCTAGCAATTGAATTAGCGGGAGCAGTCATTAAGTTATTTAAGGAGTCTATCGGTACTTGCAGGCTTCCAGAGGACTGGAAAACTGCAACCGTAGTGGCCATCCAAATTAGGAAACAGATATTTTCTTATCTGATGTCCTATGGGCTTCTGATTGAAGCCCAGCATGGATTCGTCGAGAAAAAGTCGTGCCTAACTAACCTACTGGCATTTCTAGACGAAGTTACAAAAAGAATAGATGCAGGTCGCCAAGTAAAGGTTTGCTACCTAGATTTCAGTGAAGCTTTTGACTCAGTCAGTCATCAGTTTCTGGATCTAAAAATGCAGACAGTGGGGATTCTAGGCAATGCAAGACAATGGATTAGACAATGTCTCAGCTGTCGCACATTCAGTGTGAGAGTTGGAAATTGTGCAACCAAACATGAGGGAATATCGAGTAGCATCCCACAGGGATCGGTGTTGGGTTCGGTAATATTTTGGATCTTCATCAAAGTTCTGGCGAATGATCTCCAAAATCCTGGCTTCATGTTCGTAGATGATGTGAAGTTAGCTGGGGAAGGATTGGAGAAAGTTTTAGATGTAGTTCAAAGGTGGTCCAATAAATGGGATCGACCACTGAATCTAGGTAAGTGTCAGCTCTTGACCACAGAATCCAATGGTGCCACGGTATGTGTGATGCATTTGCAGCATGGCAAAGGATCTAGGGGTAATGATTACAAATGACTTCAGGCCATCCCGGCAGTGCAAGGGTGCGGCTAATGAAGCTCCACACGAACTTTTCAGGTTGTGCGGTGTTGTAGGTCGCAGAAGATCCGAGATTTTATACCATTGTGCAAAGCTATAGTATGTGCTCATTTAGAATATTGCGCACAGGCATGGGCGCCTAATTTTAAACAGGACGAACGCTGTCTTGAGAAAGTACAGCGCTTACTAACTAGAATGGTAGCAGGCCAGAAAGATAAGGGATACCTCCAACTACTGCGGGACCCGAACCTGTTCTTCCTGGCCCGCAGACGCATGTGGGGCAACCTTGTAGAAACATTTACGATTTTCAAAGGTTCAGTTCAGTTCAGTTCAGTTGCACAGGACAAATATGGCTCTTGCCAATCGAGCGTCCAGTTCGTCGTGTTGTCGGCGGATGGGAGTAGCTTCCATAACTGCGTACGGGTTATTGAGTATTTTTGATCCTCACACTTCAACCCCGTGTCTAGAACGTTGTCTCCTTGGGGGTATGCTGAAAGGGAAGAAAACAAGCAAGGATATTTCCTCGCCTCACTGGTTAGAGACCTCAAGTACACTTGCGCTAGTATACAGCTTACGTGTGACAAGATAATCAGGTTTTAAGAATAATTTCAACACTCAAACCCACGTTTATATCATTTCACATCTTCTGGCTAAGTAGAGTTTACTTTTAATGTCCCCAGTCTAAGTACTAACTTCGAGGAACGTTTCTGACCAGCATACGTCCAGTGCCACCTTGAAGGTGTTAACATTGACGCAGTTGACCACTTCTGCAGGTAACCTGTTCCACATAGGTATGACCCTGTGTACGAAGACGTTGGACCGTACTTATAGCCAGGCGTGGTTCTGTTGAAGTTTATAGCTATGACCTCTCGTGTTTTGAGCACGAGGAATCGTGAACAAGTCATCTAGGTTGAGTCCCGATAGACCTCTTACAATTTTAAAAGTCTCTATCAGATCTCCCCTCATTCGTCTACGCTCCAGCGAAAAGAGGTTTATATCTCTTAACCGCTGCTCATAGCTTTTCCCTTTTGCCCAGTCACCATTCGGGTGGCTAGGCGTTGTACTCGCTCTAAGCACGTTACATCCCTCCTGTAATACGGTGCCCATGCCTGCACACAGTATTCCATGTATGGGCGTACAATCAATTTATACAATGGGATGAAAACCTCAGGCCTTCTGCATGTCACTGTGGCACACAACCTGAACAGTTGCCCCCTAGCCCCATTTAACGAGTATGTCCTATCCCTCGTTGCTAGGAGCCGGCACTTGCTTAGATTCAAAGGTAATTCCCACTTGACCGACCATCGATGAACTACCTCTATGTCCCTTTGTAGGTCTAACCCTGTCATTTTGACATCATCGGCGAACATGAAACATGGATTTTGAAGATTCTGTGCAAGATCGTTGATGAATATGAGAAAAAGTAGAGGGCCTAGCACTGAGCGCTGCGGGAATCCACTTGTAACCATCTCCTGGTTAGAAATGTAGTCACCCACCTTGATTCGAAAGGTGCAATTACTCAAAAACGCTACAATCCAGTCCCTGGCTCCACCCGTTATGCCTAGGCTCCGAACCTTGAAGTCCAACAACCGATGGCTGACAGAGTCAAATGCTTTACAGAAGTCTAAGT